TGTAGGGTACACCTGTGACCCCAAACCCTACAAAATAGTAGGGTATTGACCCCTGGTAGGTTTTGGATCCCCGGTTGCAAAGGGCAAAGCTAAGTCCTCAACTCCGGGGACTGGAGTCCTACCCTAAACCCCAAACCCTGATCCCTAAACCCCTGAACCCTAAACCCTAAACCCGTAAGCCGCTAAAGGCCCCTAAAGGCCCCTAAAGGCCCCTAAACCCCTAAGCCCTAACTCCGCCGCCTTGTAGGCGTCCAAAGCCGAATATCCCGCACCCTGTGGCCTGGGCCTCTCAAAACCCATCCCCTAAGACTCCAAAGTATACAAATAGTACCCACTTTGGGGTCTAAAGTCTATAAATAGTACCTAATTACTTTGGGTCATTTGGAGTCTTGGGGATTTCATTCCTGCAAGACGTAATGAAAATATAGGCCTTGGATCAAGGTAGACACCCCAGAAGTTAGGAGAAGGCTCTGGGTATCTTCGCGGATAGTTATAGAGACTAGAAAAGGGAACACCGTATTACCAATTACTAAGTATTCAGACCTCTATGATCTCTATGTTCAATGAGAGCTTAGGGTTTAGGGTTTAGGTTTTAGGGTTTAGGAAGAGATTTGGGTTTGGGATGGTTTGGGCATTGTGAAGGATTTGGGAATTACGATTGCGGTTGAAACCACCAAGCTGTCAATGGGCTAAGATCAGCAGTCCAACAAAGGAACCGGATTAAGACGCCTTGGATCGTTATTAAGGTCCTTCATGCGGATCATAATATTTGGGGTTACAGGACCAGGGTTTCTTAATCAGGTTCCGACATTAGAGCAGAGAGCCAATCGAGTTAGGGCTTTGCGTATGGGGCTTATAGGGCTAATGGGGCTGGTTGCGCAAGTGACCGTTCAGTGTGCGTGGCTTCGGTGTTCCGGACTTCTAACACCACGGATCTTGCTGTCGCTTTAGCAGCGTTTTGTTGTTCTCGCTAGTCTTCTCAGATGCCGCATGAAGCTATTATGTATAATAGGTAACTTTATATACTCCTGCCCCGTCTCTCGTGATCACGGTCGTCGCTGTCATTGCATCATCGTTGTCACCATCGTCTTAAGGTGTCTTAAGCAATTACTTTAATTACTACTACAGTTTGCAGCACCAGCAACAACACCGCCCTCACCCTCGCACTCACCCTCACCGTCACCATCACCGTATCATCACCATCAGCATCACCACTGTCGCCGAGAACACCGTGCTGATTTCGGTCTTCATCAATCGAATCGTTTAAGTCACTTTCACTTTTGTCAGCATTATCAGCACATGAATGGCAGTGTCAGCATCTTCCTTCTCCTCCTCGTCCCTTCATCCGCATTGGCACCGTCCAAGTCTCACCCAAAGAAACCCTGTCTTCCACACAGGCGATGCTGTCTGCAATTGTAGCACCAACGCGAGAGACATGGTCGGGTGATCGCAATGCTAACCCCCAGACGTAATCACAGCGAAGACACTACTGTCAAGGCAAGGCTGCGCCTCTCTCTACCCATGGGCCCCTAAGTAGTTCCTTTTTGTGGTCTATATTTAGAATCCTAAAAGGTACTTAGGGGCCTCTGGGTAGCCCCAACCGCAAGCCCAACTCCATAGCCCCTATACGCCGAAACCTCCAGAGGCTACATCCCGAAACGTTCTCAGAAACTCACTGCTGCGTCAAGGAAGAACACCTGAAGCCGCAACCCCAAGCCATACCTATAGGCTCCTATGTAGTTCCTTTTGGGGATTACCTTATAGGATTCTAAATATGAACCACAAAAAGGAACTACTTAGGAGCCTATGGGTAAACCATGCAGCAGATAAAGCCTGTAACTCTTCCCTCAAGGCGCCTGCATTCTGGCCGCCGAATTCCGCCTGGTCAGCTTGCCGGTGTGGGGTCCATAAGCCCGAAGAAGTGTACACTTTCAGTTTCATAAGGAGTCATATTATCCCAAAAAGTTTAAAGTGTAGTAATGCAGCTCCTAAGTTAAGGTTCATGGCATGGCGGATGTATGACAGGTTTGATTCCGGGGTTAGGGTTACATGGTTGCTTCAAGCATTGCATGTTCTAGGTGGCTCAGGCCTGTTGAGCTTGTTGGGTTGGTTGAAATAGTTGGTCTTGCCCAGACCTATACAAAACACGTCACCCTGTTGGTGAATTGGGATCGACGGGGGAAGTTGCATGATGCTGGTTTAGGGTTTAGGGTTTAGGGCTTTAGGGTTTAGGGTTGAGGGTTTTGTTCTGGTTGAGAACTTGTGGTGTAGTGGATGGTCGGCCCACATACTCAATGGAAACTTCAGCATCTCGTCTTTTGCCTAGCATGCAAAGCGGCAAGCACAGAGCAACTCGCAACGCACTCGAGACTCCACTGCGCATGCCGCGATTGCTCCCGGCAGCACTAGCAAAGATCTGGTGCGATGACGGGTCTACTCAATGGAAGCATGATCCTCTGTCCCACTTCAGCGGCACTTCTTGCCTCATTAGAAGCGGCTGCACACGACAGCTCAAAAAATGTGGGAGGCAGTCAGGCATCTAACGTAAGGGCCTTAATGATTCGAACATGGTTTTGGGGGCTCCTAAAAACCCTAAACCCTCATAGTAGCCCCTTATCATTATCGAACCCTCTAAGGATCCCTTCAAAGGGAACCCTATTCTACTTCCCTAAGGGTCCATGTATCCAAATAGATATACTTTGGCCTTAAAGTAGTCCCTATTTGGGTACTTTGGGGCCCAAGTATATACTATTTGGGTACATGGACCCTTAGGGCTTGTTAAGGCCCCTACATTACGTCGTGTCTACCTTCGTCCGGCTGGCGCCTCCAGTAAAGCCTGGTGGAAACGCCGTGTAAGTCGGGTCAACTTCATGCCTTTGGAAGTGGAAGCCTCGACAACTCGAAGCGCCTCGGCGACCTGTGAAGGCTGCGCCTTGGAAACGACTCTGCGAACGTCTGCCATGTTCTTTGTCTCATGCGTGCTTCTTAGGCTCCCCATTAATGATGCCACATGCATCTCCGCAAAATACGCGTCAATGTCAATGCCGGTCAGCATCACCTTCTCTGCGAACGCCGTGATGTTTTCCAAATTTCGGCCGGCATGTGCGGCCATGGCATGTGTGTAGTGAATGAGGTTGATGGGCACACTTCTCGATCTCATTTCCTCCAAGAAGTACTTGGCTGTGTGTGGCTTGCCTGCGACTTTGCAGCCGTTCAGCGCTGAGCCCCAAGTCCCTTCATCGATCTCAAGGCCTTCCTTCAGGATCAGATCCAGGAATGTAATGACCCCCGTAACGTTGCCAAAGTCACCCATGGCATTAACCATTTCGCTCATCAGCAAATAAATCTGACGAGGTTCCCAGGAGTCGGTTTGGCTCTTTGCTTCATCCCACAGCTGGAACACCTTGTCGGCTTCATTCGATTGCACGAAAAGTCGAATGGCACAGTTGAAGGTGATCGAGTTTTTGGGTAAGTTTTTCTTGCACATTCGCTGAAATATGCTCCTTCCGTAGCCATACTGCCCGCAACGATAAGCAGCGTGCATGGCAGAATTGTACAACGGTGTCTTCGCTTGGCTGCACTTCTCCCAGGCAGACCGTGCTTTATACCATGCTAGCCCTTGTGCTGCACTTGAAATCATGCTCAAGGAAATAGCTTCCTCCCGTGACAAGTTGTGATCATCCCAGCCGGACTCAGACACAGGAGTTCGAAGCTTCCAGCCCCGCTTCATGGCCTCTGCCTCCATCCTCCTGTTGACGCCACGCTGTTGAGCGAAGCTGATGGTCCGACTTGCCAAGACTAGGACCACGAAAGCACTCACGGCCATGCATGTGGCAGGCTTCCGCAAGTGCGATGACATCAGTCGCGAGTGTGAGCAAAGCCCAGGCAATCTAGTGCACACGACCCTTCAACAGACTCGGCTCGTGTTTTCTCGATTTTCTCGAGGCTGCGCAAGGCATCAAATTCTGCTACGTACTGCTTGGATGCCGCCCACACTCAGCAACAGCTGGACAATGTGTATCATGCTAACATATAAGGCCCTCAGCAGTACCGTGTTATAGACAAGTGGCTGTACGCAAGCTACTACCCTCGACCTCGTGGCGGTGCAAGGCTTAGGATCTTTTGAACGCACTTAAGCTTCAGTGCTTTTGGGGTTTGGCTTCAAAGGCTACAGGTGCTCGTCTGCATGCCTCAGAGCTTCATGTCTGTTCGTCAAGCACGGTGCTGAGATGAGCATGAGGGTGCAGCGCGTCGAGAAAGTCTTCTAGGTTGGGTGAGGTTGTCCGGCTGTTCAGGCGGATCTTATACGGGGTGTAGTGTGGTTCAGGCCAGGATTCGACATCAGTATTGAGGGTTTAGTGAGTTTAGTGTTCAGGGTTCTGGACCATTTGTTCCAGAAAAAAGGCGCAACGCCGAAACTCAGCCTTGGAAATGCAATAAACCCTACACGCCCTAATTATTCATTAAGCGCCCCAAACCTAACAACCTCAAAAGCCTTAAAGGCACTAAAGCCCGCAACAAGCCTAAACCGCATCGCCTTCCCCAGATGTAAGTCATGAGGTCGATCATCGCCCCGCTGACAAAATACCTGCACAGGTGTGGATTAAGCGTTCGTGGGTTTCGGTTTTCCCGGCTCGTGGGCTTGCTTTTTAGAAGGATTAGGCTCTTGTGCGTTAGGGTGGAGGTTTTGGGATACAAGGTTTAGGGTGCAGGTTTTTGGGTTTTGGGGTTTTGGGGTTTAGGTTTTGGAGTTTAAGTTTCTCATAGTTTAGTCTTTATAGGATTTAGGCTTACCTGTCCTGGGCCCGGATCCTGGCCGAGTTCCTCTTCCCCTTCAAGCCCACATTAGGGTTTAGGGTTTAGGAGGCGACCTACATGGTAGCTGAGCATCCTTGGGGGACGAGCCAGCTCTGATTTTCGCGACCTGCCGTGGTAGGCATTTTCGTGTTCTGCACTGATGCCACAGGGTTTAGGGTTTAGGGATTCACCTCTTTTTGGATTGGGTTTCCCTCGGCTTGCCTCTGGGTACTTCTGGGCCACTCTCTTCATCTGGTCTGCTGCCGAGATGTCATCGTGCGTAGCCCTTGTTGGACGGCTCCTCCTTCTGCTTCTTTTGCTTGTTCACCTTATCGCGGAGCCCCGAGCCCTGAAACGCCTCTTGCGGCGAGGCTGCAGCCAAGGTTGGGCCTGATACGGTTGATGATATAAATCCTGCAGTACCATTAAGGACCCTAAACAATGGGAAATTAATGGTATATTCCGTATTATGGGTAATGCAGGATTTATATCATCAACCCTAAACCCCTAAAGCCCGTAAACCCTAAACCTTAAACCATATTCCTTATTCTGGGTAATGCTAAGGATTTATATCATCAACCGTATGAGAATGCCTCTCCACAGTGGCATCCTGGGTCGCGTGTCTGTCACAAGGCTCCAAAGAGGCAGCAAGTTTTTCCAAATTGTTTAACACTGACATGTTTAAAGGAAACTACAGGTGGGGAGTTTGGGGCAAATAGGGCTTCTATGAGGCTTCTATAAGGTATATAGACCTTCTATAAGGCTCCTCTAACGCAAACTACCCACCTGAAAATGTCCTAGACATGTCCGCTTTGCAAGACTAAGGCTGAAGGCGCTCCGACTCCGGCTCTGCTTCTGCCTGCCCTTTAGAACCTCACCCCTGAAGCGCCCCATAATAGGTCGGTTGCAATAGATAGTTCCCCCCCCTAAGAAAAAGTCTATAAATCCTAGAGCCCACCTGACAATCAAACCCGACCAGGCCTATCCCGAATCTTATTGCGGTAGGAAGTTAGAGACACGAAGTATTCGCCCCTCTTCCACCGGGGTTTTTAGAAGATCCTGTGCCGTGCATGTGCCGGTAGTTCGTTAAACCCTTGAGCTCTGTGCTCGTTTAGGGTTTAGTTAACCCTAAACCCCCCCTAAAACCCCCAAACCTGATACCCTAAACCCTGAAGCCCTCTAGCAACACAGGGTGCAGGATGTCGAACCTCATCATGCTCCGGGAATAGTGCAGAAAAATCCGGTGACGCCGCTCAACCCTGAAAGGCCCAAGCCTCCTTCAGTTGAATAGTCCCTGAACTCCGATGCCCAAGGCACCCAAATCGCAAACTTGCTAAAAGAAAAAAAGTCAAACCTTGAAAGCCTGTCCAGAAATACTGTCAGGGATTTGGGTTTGTCAAACCTTGAAGGCTTTCCAGAAACACTGTCAGGAAGTAGGGTTTGTCAAACCTTGAAGGCCTATCCTGAAATACTGTCAGGGATTCGGGTTTGTCAAACCTTGAAGGCGTATCCAGAAACACTTGGGATTAGGGTTTGTCAAACCTTGAAGGCCTATCCAGAAATACTGTCAGGGATTTGGGTTTGTCAAACCTTGAAGGCGTATCCAGAAACACTGTCAGGGATTAGGATTGGGGGGCTGTCGGGTTTCACACTTAGGGTCTAGTTTTCAAGCGCCACTTATCCCCTGAATCCCAAAGTCGAAAGCTCTCACCCCTTCAACTAAAGGCAACTACAGGTGGGGAGTTTAGGGTACATAATATAGGGCTTCTAGAAGGCTTCTATAAGGTATATAGACCTTCTATATAAGGCTCCTATGACGGTAACTACCCACCTGAAATTGTCCTAGATTCAATATGCGCACGTGTTCCCAAAGAAGTAGGTCAGGACCAGGAGCATGCCTCTTGGATGGAAGGCTGCGAGAATAAAAGAAGTAGTGGGCTGCCGTCCCAGGAAACAAGGTACACCCTAAACCCTAAACCCTAAACTCTAAAACCCAAAACCCTAAACCCTAAAACCCTAAAACCCTAAACTTCCTAAACCCTAAACCCAAACCTCCACTTCCCAAGGAGGAGCCTGGGAGATGAGTTTCAAACCCTGAACGGCCGGTGTGGG